TGTACCCTCCTCTCATCTTAATCTGCTAGCTAGAGATATATTTTATTATTAAAGCTGCTTAATTCTTTTGTGCTTTTATGTTGACACAATTGTTGTTATATATGTAGGTAGAAGAGTACAGTGGGCTTAAGCTGCAGCCACATAAGGCCATTGTTGGAGCTAATGCATTTTCTCATGAGAGTGGCATCCATCAGGTTTTGTGTTATTCTTCTCTAAAAGTTTTACCTCTACATATACTAGATCCTTTTTTTTCATTGTTCCTTTTTTTTTATATTTTTTTTTAAATGTGGTTTAGGATGGAGTGTTAAAGAACAGAGATACATATGAGTTTGTATCTCTTGAAGATGTTGGGTATCGTCGTGCTAATGAATACGATATTAGTCTGGGAAAACTCAGGTACGATTTTATTTTCAGAGTGATCGATTTGTTATGTTGATGGTTTGATAGAGATTATTGCTCAAATTCTTTGGTCTTTTCCCCATATTTTTGGATGAGTCAAAAGATTCGACTAATAATATATAGTCCTACCAATTTTGTGTCAACGTATGCACGAATCGACTATAATCATCAATCAAATATGTCCAGCTATCCTTATTGACACTTGTACGGTGTATTCCCTTTATATAAGTAAAATATATACATAAGTGAACTAAAAAAAAGATAATTTTAATTAAAGCGTGCTATCTCTAACCGCTTAAGTTTTTATATGAAATTATCATACACTTCTAACACTTTGAAACTCGTATTATAGTATTACTATCCCCTAGCATTTTAGTACCGCCATTATTGTATAAAATCAACCAGGGGCGAGGCCACCTTTTACAAAGGGTGGTCACCACCCTTTGGCGAAATATTATGAAAACTTGTACTGTGTATATAAGTAAAATATTGATTTTAGATGTATAAAACATATATTGAACACCCTGTGTCGGAAAATTTTATAAACGTTTTTCAAGTCTAAACACCCTTGAAAATATTTCTGGCTTCGCCACTGAAATCAACCCCAACTCTCCCTTTTTCCCATTTACATTAGGCACATTGATGTACATCTTTCCTTTAAGGAATTTTGTAACATGGTGAATTTTTTGTGCAGTGGTCGCCATGCGTTGAAAGCCAAAATGGTTGAGGTAAGATAGATAACCTACAGTGCGATATATTACTAATGTTATAGTAATGACATTAGTAATCATTTTATTTTGTTACAGCTTGGATATGACTTTGACGGCAAAGAACTTGATGACCTCTTTCATCGATTCAAGTCACTGGCTGAGAGGAAAAAGGTGATTACGTTGCTGGTCTAATTTCATAGCGCAATGGTCAAATTTGTGATCGCGACTTTACTGGTCTAATGGGTATATTTTTGTGATTTTACTGTCATAGTAGATATAATTAAGTCATTTGTTTTTTGATAAATTTTATAATAAACTTTATTTTATAGTGAGTAAAGTTCAGTCATTATATTAATATATGAAATTAACCCTATAGGTTTTCCAGTTCTGTGGTGAAGCTTACCTAATTAAAAGTTTACCTGTGTCGGTATAACGAATAAGTATGTCCGCCTATTTATATTCCCTACATTTATCTTTCAGAAAATTACAAATGATGACTTCAGAGCACTTGTATCAGATGAAGTTTTCCAGCCTCAAGTTTCCTGGCAACTTGGAGATGTACAGGTACATGTAAATACTACTCCCTCCGGTCCAATTTATGTGAACTTATTTAACTGGGCACGGAGTTTAAGAAAAAATGAAGACTTTTGGAATAGTTAAAAGGGGCCAGAATAATATTTGTGCGGTTATAAAAGCTTCTCATTAATTAAGGGTAGAGCTGTATGTTTAAGCAAAATTGTTACCAAATTTAGAAAGGGGACATTCTTTTTGGAACGTACCAAAAAGTAAATAGGTTCACATAAACTGGAACAGAGGAAATATTTAATTTCATGCATTTTGCTAGTAGTTGTGGATTGAAAAGGAATTAATGTTCACTTAATTCAAATGATTTTCTGTTTAATGTACAGATTACTTGTGGAAGTGTTGGCCTCTCTACAGCAAATGTTAAGCTTATTGACAGTGATGGTCAAGAGCACACTGCCTCTTCTGGTGGAACAGGACCTGTTGATGCAGCTTACAAGGCAGTTGACCTCGTTGTTAAGGTATTTAATGAAACTGAAAACTCTCATAATGTTTGTATCTTGTCACACTAGTAGGATAGATAATTTTGAGTTTTATATACGCTCAAGGTATAAAAATATTTACTCAATTAGATTGTGTTGCGGAATATCGTGGGTTAACTAGCACACAATCACACACAAAACAAATAGAGAAGAAAAAATAACACAAGGATTTAACGAGGTTCGGCTAAGCCTAATCCTCGGAGCAAAAGCAGAGAGGGTTTTCCACTATGAATGAGAAGAAAATCACCGTTCAATCTCTAGGATCCCCAACTACAACCCTTATATATAGATCCCAAAAGGTCCCAAACCTATAAGAGAAAGCCTTCCCAATTTGACAAGGACTATAGGTCTTCCTTTCCAAAATCTATTAGGACAATGGATTTTCCTAAACGTATAGGGATTATGGATTTCCTAAAATACAAGGAATTAATTCAAGCCACAAATAACAAATCTTCCCCTTGGCTTGAATTCTCTTCATCAACAGGAACAACGACTCTCTACCTTGCCCTCAGCCCTCGCAAGGGCTCTATCCATTGCCGCACACATCAACCAAGTCTAGGCAACGCCTAAACTTGTTAAGAGACTCAATCTCTTTAGCCATAGCACTAACCCGTCGATTTGGTTCTGTACTCTGAATAGCTTCTGAGTAGCTATAACACTTAAATGCATCAATGGTCTTTGCAACTGCCAAAGCAAATCCCACTGGATTCGTATATCCAAGAAGATTCTCATCAACTACGTTTGCAAACCTTTGCGGTCGGTTGATCACTCTCTTCTCTCTGCCTGTTCCAATGCTATAGGGTCGTTGCGCAGGTGCATCAACATTATCATCTTGATCAATATTTTGCACCTCCTCCACTTCCTCTACTTTAGAACTACTGGGCTGAGCTAGTGGAAATTCAATTTCTAGCTCTATGCGGTCACTGACACCACTATCTGTTTCTGCTATTGCCTTCTCCCTCTAACTGTTTAGTGAAGCAGATCCATAGAATGTTACATCTCTACTGATAATTAGCCTTGGAGTCTTTTGATATGTGAACCACAACCTATAGCCTTTCATTCCAGTTGCATACCCGAGAAATATACACTTCTTTTCCCTCGGCTCAAGTTTCCATCCTGCCGCATGAGCATAAGCTGGACAACCAAATATCTTCTAAATTTGAATAATCAGCAGGCGAACCGGACATACCTCAAAAGGAGTTTTGAACTCAGATAGTTGTGGATGGAGATCTGTTGACCAAAATAACAAAGCTGTATTGATTGCTCTAGCCCAAAAATATTGCTAACACATGAGTGTGAAGCATGCTTCGTGCCCTATCACAAAGCGTTCTATTCACACGGTTCTGGCAATACCATTTTGTTTGCTGGTGTTCCGACACAAGTGCAGTGTCTCAACTATGCCCCTCTCCGTTGCAGAAATTATCGAACTTAGAATTGCAAAATTCCAACCCATTGTCAGTTCGAAGACGCTTAACTTTTCTTTCCGTCTGCCTCTCAACCATCGTCTTCCATTTAACAAATGTCAAAAAATGCCTCATCTTTTTTTTCAAAAATACACCCACCACCATCCTTGAGTAATCATCAATCAAAGTCATAAATACCTGGCACCACTCTTGAGGAAACTCTGTTTGCGACCCACAAGTCAGAGTGTTATAATCTAACTTGTCTCTGGTCTTGTGCTCGGCCTTCTTGATGAACTTTACCTTGTCTGTTTACCAAACACACAATTCTCACAAGAATTCCAAACTTGATTTTTGTACCCATTCAGCAAATTCTGCTTACTCAACAAAGACAATACATTATCACTCATATGGCCAAGTCGCAAGTGCCACACAGTCTGATTCAGATCACTTTTCCGAGAAGCTACAGCAGCTTCCTTCAACTACACTGGCCTGAGATGATACAATTTAGAATGTAGTTTACCCTTCATGAGTACCATGGAGCCTTTACACACTTTAAGTATTCCATTCTCAGACTGAATTTATACCCTTGATCATCCAAAGTCGAAAGAGAAATCAAATTCCTCTTTATCCGAGGAACATGCCAACACTCAATATTTCTGATAATTCCGTCGAACATTCTCAATTTGATGTTACCAACCCCCTCTACTGGTAATGGATTAACATCTCCCATATAGACAGTCCCACTCATTTGCTTGTAAGTTGCAAACCAATTCTTGTGTGGACACATGTGGAAAGTAGCACCAGAATCAAGAACCCAAGAATTCTACCCATGACTAGAACTTTCAGCACAGACTTCCCCTACATAGTCACTATCATCAGAATTATTGCCAGTATCAATAAATATTTGCCGAATTATCTATTTTTTGCTTCCCTCTTTTCTCCTTCAGCTTAACAATCTCTTTTGTAGTGACCTTGCTCCCCGCACTCATAACAGTGTTGTTTCCTTGCTCTAGACTTTGATCTGGCGGTTGACTTTTTCCTGTTAAAGTCCTTTTGTTGTGTTCTTCCTCTAATCACAAGACCCTCGCCCTCAATTTTGTTGTCTGGAAAGCTCTTTTTCAACTCTTTAGATTTTAGAGCATTACTAACATCTTCTAGTGAAATGTTGTCTTTCCCATATAGCAGCGTATCAGCAAAAGTATCATAAGACGATGGTAAAGAACATAACACAATCAAGGCCTGATCCTCACTCTCAATTTTGATATCCACATTCTTCAAGTCCATTATAATTGAATTAAACTCATCAATGTGAGTTTTAATAGGTGTACCTTCATTCATAAGGAGATTGTATAACCTCTTTTTTAGGTAGAGGCGGTTTGTTAGTGATTTCTTAGAATACAGATCTTCTAGCTTCTTCCATGCCGTTGCTGCAGAAGTTTCTTCGGCAATTTTCCGAAGAACGCTATCTGTAACGCTCATGAAGATCACACTCAAATCCCTCTCCTTCAGGTCTGCCTTCTCTGTCTCCTTCATCTCTTCAGAAAAATCCTCATCAATTGCCTTCTATAACCCTTGTAACACCATGGACGATTTCATCCTGATCTTCCATAAACTGAAACTAGAACCCCCGTCAAATTTCTCTACTTCGTACTTTGTTGAAGATGATGAAGACATCTTAACCCTAGATTGTATGTAGAAACCCGAACCTTGCTCTGATACCAATTGTTTTGGAATATCGTGGGTTAACTAGCACACAATCACACACAAAGAAAATAGAGAAGAAAAAATAACATAAGGATTTAACGAGGTTCGGCTAAGCCTAATCCTCGGAGCAAAAGCAGAGAGAGTTTCCACTATGAATGAGAAGAAAAACACAGTACAATCTCTAGGATCCCCAACTACAACCCCTATATATAGATCCCAAAAGGTCCCAAACCTATAAGAGAAAGCCTTTCCAATTTTACAAGGACTATAGGTCTTCCTTTCCCAAATTTATTAGGACAATGGGTTTTCCTAAACCTATAGGGATTATGGGTTTCCGAAAAATATACAAGGAATTAATTCAAGCCTTAAATAACAGATTGCTTACATGGCAATTGCAGGTAACTCTATTAGTAGCTTAAACTAAAAGACAAACGTAGTAATAATTTCAATGTAAATAGTTTAGGAGACTTACGAATTTCTCCTTGACAAAGAAATTAAAAAACTTGGGAAGCATGCACCTCAATCACCTTACTTGTGTAAATTAAACTAAATTAAAAGTACAACCAGCTTAAACAGGTTTTCCAACTATTTTTTAGTGTTCGGATGGATATGCAGCAACCATGATTTGATTCAGCGATCATCAGATATCCTCACCATACACACAAACTCCCTTTCTCCACATCCTAAAAATCCTTTTCTAAGATGTCTCTGTTTGCAAAATCTAGCCGTCATATCTTGGTGTAAAACACGTCTAATATCCATAATGGTGTATTTATATGTTATAAATTGAATTTAGGAGAATGGTAAGTTAACGGGCTAATTAGCCCCTTTTATGAATGGATCCAACCGAATAGCAATATTCCAACAGTTAGCTAAGTAAGCTGCTATAGCAACTAAAATAAGAATGATAGAGTAAAGACTCTTTCATATATAGCAGTGAATATAACCTAAATCCTTTAGTTACTGCTAACAATTTTGTAGGTATAATTGCTTTGTTTGGTAAAAACACTAAATGTTTATAAGTAATGTTTTCTTTCTCATTATGCAGGTACCTGTAACACTCGTTGAATATTCGGTGAATTCAATCACAGAACGTATAGATTCCATAGCTTCAACCAAAGTGTTAGTTCGTGGGGATGATGACTATGCATCGTTTAATACTTCAAACGGGCAAACAGTTAATCGTACAGTTAGGTATGAAACATACAGGAACTACTGTTTCCTTTATCCTTATTTCCCTTAATAATGTTCTTTCATGCATAATGTGGGAATATGAATATGACTGAGAAAAGAATTAAAACGATTTTTTCCTAAAGAAGGATATAATATAGGAATGAAGTGTTATCAGTTTTATATAGTTCTCAAAGTCTATGGTACGACGGGAATCTAGAGCCATCCTGAGAGAAAACTTTTGAAACTTAAGAAAAATCTTTGTGGGGCTATGACATTTGTGTGGTTATAAAAGATTCTCATTAAGGGTAAAATAGGTGAAAGAAGAGTTTAAAGTTGAATTATTTCTAAATTTAGAAATCTGTCATTTATTTTGGATAGACTAAAAAGGAAAGTACCTCATCTAATTGGAAACGGAGGGAGTATCATATAAGAAATATACACATCGGTCAGATAGAGTATATTTTTAATTATATTTATGCCTCAACACGTATACTCACCTCTTAGCCTAATTTTTGTTACATGGGGATCATTCTACGTTTTGAACTTAGGACCTTTATTTTGTCTAACACTATATTGGCAGTGGAACAGGAGCGCATATGGACATTGTCGTCTCAAGTGTGCAAGCCTATGTTGATGCGTTGAACAAAATATTCAGTTACAAAAAAACTAGGTCTCGTGAACAAACTTGAAGGCAGTGCGCAATCGTAAAAGTGATGGTGTGTGTGTGTTAAATTCCACCATTATCGACTG